AGGTCGCCCTTTACTTACATTTTGTTGAACCATAATCGTGGAGGCAAAAATATGATAATAATATGATAATCTGTTAATTCTGTTAATTCCTACTCATGTTAGTTTACTGTCAAAAAAATCATTAAAATTTGGATTTGAATGATAATTAGGTTAAATTTTGTAATAAATTTTGTAAAAATTTGCACAAGCTGATATTATTAATAATAATCATAAAAGTTTTACTTAATACCAGCAGCTGCCATAGCATGGTTTAAGGCAATGTCCTTAAATTAATTGTTTTTTTCATTCGCAGCTATCCTCTTGTAGACAGCCTTTTCATCGATTGACAAAGCTTCCCATTCAGAAGCAACGATTTTAGATATTTCACCGAATGATGCCGTTTTATTTTCGTCTTTAATACAAGCTTGACGTTCTCGAAAAATGTGCATATCCAGAGGCTGATTTTTTATTATATTATTGTTGGATTCATTTTTACGATTAATCTTCTTCTTTCGGATAACTTTTACTGGTTTAAAGTCTTCTTCTTTACTATTGCTCAGAACATGAGGTTGAACACTCAAAGATGGAACGCTAAGGGTATTGCTTTGACTGGCATTTGGAGATAATAGACTCGGCTAGATAGAGAAAAATGAGTGAACGAAAACATAAAGATTATTAGATTTGCTTAATTGATGCTCATGGTGATCAATGGTTTTTGCAGCCAGTGATCATCGATAAAATTGCCCAGCACTAGTATAATTCATAGTCTTAGGTTAGTTTTGCTACAGGGTAACATGGAGGTCTTTTTAACATTTTATGTTGATGCTGTTAGATCATTTTTGAAACTTAATTAATTTAACTTATTTCTTGACATAGTAAATAGATAGCCAAGTCAAAAAATTAACTATATGTTATGCGATCTATTAAAACTATTAGAAATATTCACAAAGAAATGGTTTTTCTGCAAACTGACAAATTTAATGAAAAAACATCTTTAAAATGGCGTTATCATAACTCTAGTGCTTACGTACTAGAAACAAGATATAAATTTAATAAAATTCAGTTGTTTTCAAATTGGGGTAAATTAAATTCAATTTATATTCTCAGTTTGTTCATTTACTTGTCTTGTCCAACTGAAATTGTGATTGGCTCTCGAAGCATTGCGTATTTGTTTAACTTTTGTGTAGCCAAATGGTGCAGCGAATCCCAATAAACCGCCGACAAGCAAGAACAACATAATTATTCCAAAAGCACCTGATCCACTTGTTCCTTTAGTTGCTCCAGATGAACCTTTGCTTCGCTTTCCATTTGATTCCACTTGCAACTCGTAATTTGAGCAATAACCTCCTTCTGTGGTTTTAATATTTGAACTTTTAACTGAAAATTCGGTTAATGAACAAGAACTTTCTGTTTTACTTTTAGGACAATAATTGAATGATTTACATCCAGTTTCACCATCGGACCATTCATGACATAATGAAGCACATTGTTCAAAATTTAAATTAAATTCAGTGTGAATAACACCAGATACGATTTTGTTGCCCGTTTTTTGATACTTTTCAGATACTTTGGCTAAGTTGATTGAGAATAAGAAATCAATTAAACAAAACGAAAACTTGTTACTCTTTTTGTAAGAATACTTACGAACAAAGACAATGCATTCTTCATCATATTCAGTAGATTCATCGGTATAAGCACCACCAAAACTACATTTAAGGTTGCAATATTGGAAGGATAAACAATCAGGTGAAGCATGACACAATTCTGCACAAGTATCAAGGCGTGTCTCGATTGCGATTGAAGTCTGAGTTTTAAATTTTCTATGAGGTACTTCTGAGTAATCATTAAGAACCTCCGAAGCGTAAATAGAACATGTTTTTTCTTGTTCCACATGCGATTCATTATACAAGTCGTCAGTTAGTAAGCTACTGACTCTACAGTCGCCATTTGAACAGAATGAAAAAATATTGCATTCGAGTTGATCGGAATTATGACAGGCTCGATAACAATCAGCAAACGTTTTGCTATCTGGTACTGTCACTGTTACTTGATCGTTGCTTTTTAATTTTTCGTTGTCTTTAATTTTGAATACAAAGGAATCTGATGAGTCACCTTGATTTTTCGTTACATCGATAACATCAATTAATTTATAAGTTGCGACTGTAAAGAAAATGTTGAGAAAGATATTGTGATAAGACTTTTTTAAACTTATAACTTTTACTCAAAATTGAAGGACTTAACATCGGCATTGAATTACTTACAATTTTCACCATTCAAACTTATTAACCAGTAACTATTTCCTACGTCTTTCAAAAAAATATCGTGAATTTGATCGAGTGGTAATTCTTGATTAATGCGACGCAAATTGTTTAAAGGAAAGTGATAGACGCTGCATGGTTCTCCGAATTTAGTATCTTCCATGAAATCATCAAAATTTGTCAAATATCCGCAAGAAGAATCTGATGGTCTATAAATTACTACACTGAATGAGAAAATGATAAAATTAATAGTTTTGAATTACATAAAAATAGTCAGAGTCGAGATATTTACTTGATGGTATCAATGAATGTCGATAATTTGTTCAGACATTCATTTTCATCCTTTGTTTTGATTATTTTCATTTTTCTAAATGTAAATGCGCTAACGGACATAGTTTGAGAGTTTAAAATATCTGTAAAAGAAAAAAAGTTCGACAATGAAATTACATTCTAATTACATGAAATGAGAAATGATAACTACATTGGAAATCAGGTAAATCCAAAAACGTCACATCAACTTGAAGCTGTTCGTCATTGAAATTATATTGAACCGTTTCGATTCTAAGTGGACTGATTGTTTCGCTCGAAATAATAAAATACAAGAAGTTTTGTTTCATCTCGTAAATGTGACTTTCTATAAGTTGTTGTGAAAAATGACCGCCATCTGAAAGAGGAAAGAAAAAAAATTATAATTACTTGAGATCAATTATTTATACATTTTATATTGAACCACATGACTTTCGTTCTCATCAATTTCAATATCGTAAGTTTGTTGAGTCATGATGTATAAACAATTATTTAAAAAATAAGATTGCAATGAGAAAAGCTCAGTTTCCATTAATATTTACTATTACATACCTTCAGGTTGTAATTTAAAGGCAAGGGTTAATTTTTTATCTTTATACAAGTATTTGCACTCTTTTAACGTGAAAATATCATGAAGTTCATCTTCTGCTCCAGCCGTTTCAAAGTTCATGTAATCTCTAGTAATTTCATCCACCCAAGTGTAAGTTTTTTTCTAGCAAGACAAAAACATGTATGGATCATGTTCAGAATCATTAATCTTTCACAATCATAATCATTTTTAATACTAACCGATCGATCAAATTTATACATTTCAATTGTGGTACTGACAAGCGTATAGCCATGAAATATTACGCTGTCTCGCTAAAAGCCATTTTGATTGTGATTTTGATAATTTAAATGAAAAGGGAAAAATTAAGTTACAAAAGGAAATCATGTTTGATACATCTCACAAGTTATGTTAGAAAAACGTTTTCACTACATTTACATTTGTTTACCTTATTTTGTAATTGAATCCATTAAAAAGTCTTACAGTCTTGTAGTTTTTCTTACACTGTTAGTTTAAAAACAGTAAAACAATCATTAAAAATATGATAAACTTACCGATTCAGCAAAATATTGACTAATGACTGCTTTGTCGACCCTTTTCCCATTTATATTAACAGCATATTTGGTTGTTTCCCATACGTCGACGGGATATCCAGATCGATGTTCCTAAGAAAATATACAAGAAAGTATTCAAGAATCGTCAACTTTACATTTGATTTCGGCTCATCCAACGATAATTCGCCTAATTCAAAATCTTTGGTTGTTGCATTCAGAGCTGAATTCCTTTCAAACTCCCTCAAAACATGATTAAATAGATTATGAATAAATATTTGTTGATTACTCACTAAATTTATCTTTCCAAGATATTTGAAAATAGAATTAACAAGGAAAAGATCATCTAAATAGAAGTGACCATTAGAATTGATTCCAGGTGAATTCAAATCTGTAAATAATATGCTACATGTTCCACCCTTTTGAAAGAGGTAAGAAAGGCCAAGGTTGTAATCATAGATAACTTCAGTTGTTACGCCAAGAACATTTGATTTTATTCGTAATATGTTGTACTTTTCTGATGCATGAATCTGAAAATGAGATGAAAATAAATGTGAAATTGGAAATATTTGGCTAAATAAACTAACCTCACTGAATGTTTGAGTATTGATTGAACCTTTAACGTACTCGTACATAGAGAAATGTACATAATTAGGTTTCAACTGTGGAAATGGAGGATCACCCATGGAAAAGTAATATGGACATCCAATCCCAGGTAGAGGCTAACCAAAATCAGTGAAAATCAATATGTAAATGAGATAATCTTTTAACCCTTCAAATATTGGTGAAAATGCAATTCTATTAATTGTTGAGAGATGTGTGCATTTCATTACTGAATAATCATCACTTAATTTTTGAATAATTTGGACATAAAAACATGAAATGCGATGAATCCGTAAGCAAATTAAACGGATTCTTAGGAAAATTTCACAAGTAAACTCTTGAATTCACAATGGCTTTAAAAATATTGTGTTATTGTTATTTTGATCACTGCAAATGAATAATTAAGCAAAGTGGAATACTTACTTTAACTTCATTCGCAAGATTATCATGATTACTCTCATTTTGAAGGTAAATGTCAAGAATAAGATGTTCATAGTAATCCAATGACGTTGAAGATGGATCTTTACCCTTGAATACAATTCTACTTGGATTTTTGATTCCATAATCATCATCAAAATGTTCTAGTTTTTGTAAATGATCAGGACGAGAATGGGTAAGTTTGATCAAACTAATCAATTGATTTCTACTCACTTTTGTAATAATAAGTGATTCTCAATCTTACATTTATGAAAGTTGTCGCACCCTTCATCATGGTTCCTCTTATGTTTTTATCTTCAACTGATTTCTGTTGATCAACAAATGAATTTGATAAAACATTCTCATAATGTTATTGAAATGCTTACCCAAACAAGTGAGGAATGATCAAGTCGATATAAAATTGAAGGTCCCATTAAGAGTATCAGATTAGTAACAGGTTTGTCGATTCCAGGTAAAGTTTTATCCCAATTATTCTCGTAGCTAAATGGTAAACAATTTTTGTCTTTGGGATTGTGAAAAATGATGAAAAAAGTAAGAATAAAGCAGATATTTTCAAGCATTTTTAAGCGGGTGTCATGAATGAATAAAATCTTATTGAATCATTGCCGTCAGCAAAAAATTTTCTTACGAATCAAACCATATTACAGAGCATTGTATTGACATATCATATCATAAACTCTTACCATGAATAACCAAGCGTTCTTTGTTAAAATTAGAAGCAGTATTATAATAGACTTTGTAGGAATCCTTTCCAGCAGAGATCACAATTTTGCCTTTGATGGGTGAATCAGAAGCTGATATTGATTCTTGAATGAAATATTTATGGTCCACATCCTAAGATGAATAGTATCAAGAGTTAAAATAGTCAAATTTGGTGGTTGTTCAACTTACGGCATCGGTTAAAGTTGCTTGAATGTTAACGCTTTTGCTACTTATGCTTAATGGTAAATCCATCAAATCTGTAGCATTTCCTATGTTTAAGAATTGTATTAGAAATTTATTGAGTATATTTTAATTATTATAGATTAATGAATATATTTTTGTTACCTGTTTTAATTGTTGAAAGTATGATGACCCAAATTGATAATATAAAAAGCATTTTGCATCTTTCATTCGCCTGTGAAGATGACATGTTTAGACTTGATTAACAAACACAACTGTAAAAATTTTAATTTATTTTAGTTATTGTTAGCGTTGAAATGAGACGAATGCTGATTGAAACGGTATTTATAACTCATTGACTATCAATGAACAACAATAAACGGTTAAGATTACTCTTTTGATTAAATTTAATCAATGCATTTTATAATTTGTTTGAAAACTACAAAACTATCAATACAATCTTTCTGTGTAAATCCTAGCCTTTATTTTCAATCAATTCAATAAATCTTTCACCGATTAAAAAGTTTGAGCATTCTACATCAATATGGCCAGTTTTGGATCCATTCTTTATCCTGATTGTTCTGTGTTAGTCACTGGACATGATGAGAGACAAAAAACTTAGTGGAAAGTATTGAATGTAACAATAAAATGAATTCTTTTTTAACCACTCAATAAACAAAGACAGAAGAAATAGAAAAAGAGAAAGATGATAAAACAATAAAAATTGAAAAAAATTAAGTTTTGGTCGACATAGTTACAGCATTAGATGTTCAACACCATGCTCTGGACAATAGCAAATAAGAGAAATTTGGACATGCAATCGAAAAAAGCAGCCAAACAATAATAAAAAATCAGCCTCAGGATATGCACATTGTTTACGAGAACGTACAAGCTCGTATTAAAGAGGAAAATAAAACGGCATCATTCGGTGAAATATCTAAAATCGTTGCTTCTGAATGGGAAGCTCTAGCAATTGATGAAAAAGCTGGCTACAAGAGGATAGCTGAGAATGCCAAGAACGATCAATTTAAGAATATTGCGATGGGAAGCTTTGCCAATTTTTGAAAAAAGTGAGGAAAGCTGAGAATGTAAATAATGATAAATTCATCTTGAGTAAGGTTTTCAATTTTATATCAAATGTCTTATTTGATGTTTCTTTGTCTTCTTTGTCTTATGAGAAGTTGTCTTATTTCTTGACAAAGACTTGTCAACAATTTTCTCATTTCTTGTCTTATTACAGAAAATTATTTATTTTTGATTTCTTCAATTCTAATTGTTAAAATCTTACCGTGAATAACCAAGCTTTTCTTGTTGAGACTAAGACCAGTTTTATAATAATTATATCAACACTCCAGATGCTTGGAATAGTTCGACTGCTCCAAATTATAACTCATATTGTAACCAATCTCATCAACTTAATCCAACTTCACCAATCAATGTATCGGTTCTTCAAGGATCTGAAGGAACTGGTTCCTGGTCAACATCTTTCAATAGATATATGGAGGAACGAATGGATGATGCCATAGGTGTTCTTCAGAAGCATACAGAAAGTTGTAGCTACTCTCCTCAGATTGATTGTGATTTGGTATGTTATGGATAATTGATTCATTAAGCAAATCTAATAATCTTTTTCTTTTTTTCATTTTTCTCTATCTAGTCGAGTCTATTATCTCCAAATTCCAGTCAAAGCAGTACCCTTAGCGTTACATCTCTAAGTGTTCAACCTCATGTTCTGAAGCTCTGTCTAATGAGGAAAAGGCTCAAGAGGAAAGCTGAGAATGAAAAAAACAATCAATTTAAGGATATTGCGATGAGAAGCTTTGCCAATTTTTGAAAAAAGTGAGGAAAGCTGAGAATGTAAATAATGATAAATTCATCTTGAGTAAGGTTTTCAATTGATGCAACATAGCTGGAGTTCAAATGGTCAACTAATATTGAATTTTCATTTGAGTCAAGAGGGCTGACGCTGTGAAGTCACAAACACTGAGTCCATTAATGTTATTGAAAAATTTCATCGGACAGATAGTTTTCGACAAAATAATGGTCAAAGTGGGAATTTTGATCATTTTCTGTTCAATTATGGAAGTCGATATTTTCATGAAACTTAATTAACTGATTTGTGAGTATCAACCAGAAATTGTCCGCATCTCAGTAAATCAAGTTTCGATTTGTGGACAAGTTAATCAATTTGAGCCTGAATAATAGAGAATGATTTGAAACTCTTTTTACATAAAACTCAATAGTGAACATGGTTAATTTGACACTTTTGGGATGATAAAAGTTCTGTTGATTTCGGCCATTTGTCTCAAAACTTAGCCTTTACATTTCGAGAATGGCATTACCTACAATCATCATTATTGGACCAATCATTAGATTTTATTATGTGCTATAATATATTGAAATATATTAATTGTGTTGTCGATACTCGTTTTAAAGACCAATGGTTCATCAAACAAGTTCCATGTTGTAATTAAATAATAAGGTATAAGTTTGTCAGTAAATTTTAAAATCTTTCATGGTGACTCGATTTCTAGACAAATTAGCACAAAATTAGACTTATTTTAGCGAAGATTTTCTTGGCCTTCATTTGATATGATATTCATTATAAAAAATAAATTTTCGATATTCAGTCAGATTATATTACAGTACATAATAAAAATAATGTTTGGTAGAAGAATGGTTAGTTATCAGTTAGTTCTAGATAAACTTATTGATATGGATCACGTTATTGCTCTTTTATTGCATTCAAATACAATTCTGGGAAATCTATCAACAACATTCAGACCAATGCTAGATACTATCAATGCTAACCCATACGTTGATTCTCAATGTGCAATTTGATGTAATCATTAATTAAATGATTATGGATTTCATAGCAATTAGGAATAGGATGAAATCAGTTCAAAACAGAAAACAAAATAAAAAATTATTATACTGATCTTATCATATTTAACAAACTCATGATTTGATTTCACTGATCACTAAATGTGATTATAACCGGATATTATTGTGTTATTATCAACACTTATTACGATTTCAAAAATCATTGCAAACGACTTACTGAGAATTTTGTTGAAAATATTGAAATTTATTTTTTATGATAATTATTCCCGTGACCAGTATCAATTAAAGAATCTAATATAATCAGATATTTTCATTTCGTATTGTTAGATGATAGAAGGAATAATTTGATGCATATTCAGATTCAAGTATATAAGATGAGTGAGAAACAATATTTGTTATTAGTTGTTCATTTACAGATCATTTGTGAGTTTATTCAACATAATAACCAGTTAACTCGTTAACAATAAAAATGAAACAATTTCTTTCTCTCTGTGTCTTCGCCTTTTCATTCGCCTTAGTCTTTGCGACTGGATGTGAAGAATGCAAAAAATCAGTCAAGACAAGTATTCAACCTGGCAAATGCCCTGAACCCAATCGACTTCCACAACCATTTGACCTCAATCAAGTAAGACTTTTTTCATTGAAATGAAACACAGTCATTCATTTCATATTTCAATGAAAATAATGATTTGTCGTCTTTTCTCACAGTATCTCGGTACTTGGTATGAAATAAAGTCAACCAAACCATACTTCGAAGATGGTCAACGTTGTATCAAAGCTGAGCACAAGTTTGAAACAACTACTGGTATTTTTGTTACTAACAGCACTGGACTTGATTCAGTTAACAATGAAGTTGAAAGAGTTCAATTCGCCAAGTCTTATGATCAGGACAATGTTTTCACAGCCAAAGCCTTCTTAGGTAAGTTTCATACTGAATTCTGATTATTATTAATATTTATAAATGATGAATATTCAATTTATTATCTAATTTCTTGTTTTTTAACATTCAGGTTCTGGTTATTACCTTACTACACAATATTGGGTTGTTGACACTGATTACAATAATTATGCTCTTGTTGTTTCATGTAACGATGTTTTGGGTCAGTTTAACTTCCGTAAGTATTCATCTTTCACTGAACAATGATTTTACCAAAATGCAACTTTTAATTCAAATTTTATTTCATTATTTCCAGGTGATGTTTGGATACTTTCAAGGAAACCAACATTGGACGACAATATTGTCGCAAATCTGGTTGCTGAATTAGACACGGTTGGACTTCATGGCATTGTCCTCGGTGACATAATCCAGAATTGTTAATTTGAATCACAGAATAAGCTATTATCGATAAAATCTGAACCAAATTTAACAGAATTATTAATCCTGATCCCGAACAAAAAAAAACCTTTCGAACTTTAAAAAATATTCCATTCTTTGATATCCCCTGTATTTTGAAGCCCCTGCATAATATTAAAAGCTACTTAGCCTTAATCTATTCATCTATACATACATACATTCAGGTTTCTGGGAAAGGAGTATTTGTAAAAAATCGGTTTGGGCTCAAAACAGCAAAAGTCAAAATGGCAAAAGACAAAACAGCAAAAAGTTAATATCAATTAAATTCACACTTTTCTTACAATTTATCGGAGAATGCAAGTTAATCTACCAATTAAACGGATAATCGTATATTTTTACCTCTTTATTTACCTATAACTGCAAAAAATTCGTCGAAGTTTCAATGTGAACATGATTTTACCGAAAATCATCGAACATAAAATTTTCAACTTGTCCAATGTATACCCAAACTAACTCCTTACTCGGTTTAAACCAATTTCGGCATTAAACCTTTCAATTGATTTACATTAATATCAAAAGCCGATTTGCTATTTTGACTTTTGCTGTTTTGACCCATTACCACTTTACCAGATGTAAAATCTTTGGCTGATTGCTATCGAGCCTGTCATAATTCCGATCAACTCGAATGCAATATTTTTTCATTCTGTTCAAATGGCGACTGTAGAGTCAGTAGCTTACTAACTGACGACTTGTATAATGAATCGCATGTGGAACAAGAAAAAACATGTTCTATTTACGCTTCGGAGGTTCTTAATGATTACTCAGAAGTACCTCATAGAAAATTTAAAACTCAGACTTCAATCGCAATCGAGACACGCCTTGATACTTGTGCAGAATTGTGTCATGCTTCACCTGATTGTTTATCCTTCCAATATTGCAACCTTAAATGTAGTTTTGGTGGTGCTTATACCGATGAATCTACTGAATATGATGAAGAATGCATTGTCTTTGTTCGTAAGTATTCTTACAAAAAGAGTAACAAGTTTTCGTTTTGTTTAATTGATTTCTTATTCTCAATCAACTTAGCCAAAGTATCTGAAAAGTATCAAAAAACGGGCAACAAAATCGTATCTGGTGTTATTCACACTGAATTTAATTTAAATTTTGAACAATGTGCTTCATTATGTCATGAATGGTCCGATGGTGAAACTGGATGTAAATCATTCAATTATTGTCCTAAAAGTAAAACAGAAAGTTCTTGTTCATTAACCGAATTTTCAGTTAAAAGTTCAAATATTAAAACCACAGAAGGAGGTTATTGCTCAAATTACGAGTTGCAAGTGGAATCAAATGGAAAGCGAAGCAAAGGTTCATCTGGAGCAACTAAAGGAACAAGTGGATCAGGTGCTTTTGGAATAATTATGTTGTTCTTGCTTGTCGGCGGTTTATTGGGATTCGCTGCACCATTTGGCTACACAAAAGTTAAACAAATACGCAATGCTTCGAGAGCCAATCACAATTTCAGTTGGACAAGACAAGTAAATGAACAAACTGAGAATATAAATTGAATTTAATTTACCCCAATTTGAAAACAACTGAATTTTATTAAATTTATATCTTGTTTCTAGTACGTAAGCACTAGAGTTATGATAACGCCATTTTAAAGATGTTTTTTCATTAAATTTGTCAGTTTGCAGAAAAACCATTTCTTTGTGAATATTTCTAATAGTTTTAATAGATCGCATAACATATAGTTAATTTTTTGACTTGGCTATCTATTTACTATGTCAAGAAATAAGTTAAATTAATTAAGTTTCAAAAATGATCTAACAGCATCAACATAAAATGTTAAAAAGACCTCCATGTTACCCTGTAGCAAAACTAACCTAAGACTATGAATTATACTAGTGCTGGGCAATTTTATCGATGATCACTGGCTGCAAAAACCATTGATCACCATGAGCATCAATTAAGCAAATCTAATAATCTTTATGTTTTCGTTCACTCATTTTTCTCTATCTAGCCGAGTCTATTATCTCCAAATGCCAGTCAAAGCAATACCCTTAGCGTTCCATCTTTGAGTGTTCAACCTCATGTTCTGAGCAATAGTAAAGAAGAAGACTTTAAACCAGTAAAAGTTATCCGAAAGAAGAAGATTAATCGTAAAAATGAATCCAACAATAATATAATAAAAAATCAGCCTCTGGATATGCACATTTTTCGAGAACGTCAAGCTTGTATTAAAGACGAAAATAAAACGGCATCATTCGGTGAAATATCTAAAATCGTTGCTTCTGAATGGGAAGCTTTGTCAATCGATGAAAAGGCTGTCTACAAGAGGATAGCTGCGAATGAAAAAAACAATTAATTTAAGGACATTGCCTTAAACCATGCTATGGCAGCTGCTGGTATTAAGTAAAACTTTTATGATTATTATTAATAATATCAGCTTGTGCAAATTTTTACAAAATTTATTACAAAATTTAACCTAATTATCATTCAAATCCAAATTTTAATGATTTTTTTGACAGTAAACTAACATGAGTAGGAATTAACAGAATTAACAGATTATCATATTATTATCATATTTTTGCCTCCACGATTATGGTTCAACAAAATGTAAGTAAAGGGCGACCTGTTAATAGAGTCCGCATTTTTGAAGCTTAATTGCAATATGATAGAATTACTTAATCTAATTTTTTTGAGAAAATTGAATAGATACAAGTCTAAAAATTAGAATTTTTCATTCGGTGCATGAAAATATTCTTTTTCTACTGAATAATCTGAGTTCTTGCTTGAGTCCGGAAAAAAACTTTTGCGCAAATGTTTTTTTCGATTTTATTGAATAAATTCTGCAAAATTTCTCTACTGAATCAAAATTTTTGCTCAATTCTGTCTTTTTTAATGCTGATTCTTATGATGTGTCCTAATTAGTCCAAAACTTTTAATTGACCTTGCTATCGGTGAAATAGGTAGCGAGAGTTTCAGCTTTTTGTCGTTACTCATTTTCTCTATGTGTTTTTAACATGGGTTTGGCAAACTATTTTTAAAAAGAGCTCATTTAAAGCCCATTTAAGAAAAGAATTCGTATTTAATTACGATGAATTATATATTAAATTAAAGAGCATAGATTTGTGATTAAAGTGCTGCATTATTTGTCTGGGTAAGACATCCCTAACTTGCTGAAATTGCCGAATCCTCAAGAGGACTTTACTAACAGGTCGCCCTTTACTTCTGAATGTTAGAGTTAACTGTTTACTTATTTTACTGATTCATCTTTTTTCCAGTCTAAAGATCTCTAATCTAAAAAGAAGCGCAGAAGTGCTTCGTCAAAGCTGGGCAAACAACCTGTGACTATTGTAAGACCCCAAACACGACTTCAATCACGACGAGACAACAAAGTCTTAACCACGAGAAATAATATTGGTAGTCTCTCACCTCAAAAGCCACAGCAACTCTTTTGGTATAAGCGTTCGGAAGGATTGAGAGCGACAATTTTGTGCTCCGATTCTTGAACAAATTTCGATTTGCCTGATAATATTAAACCAGTGGGACCTCATATTGGAAACGATACAGCGTTCTTTACATTATAATCTGTAGATGCAATTCAAATTTAAATTCAAATTCAAACCGCAATAGACTTTAGATATAATAAGGTATGACGAGTAATGTTTTGGACTAATTTTTCAAAATTCAATTGCGACAGTTAGACTAGACTTACAGACACTATTTAAATATTGAAATAAAGCTGAACTTTTTAACAACGTATTGTGAAAAAATTGATCGATTTTGATCAGAAATTGTCAAGTTATAGCCTTAAATGGACAAAGACGTCAAAATCTGAGTTTACCTTTCGTCAAAAACCATAAATTTTTTACTGCATACCAGGGTTCTAAAGAATCGAAAAGTGGCCAAATTTGGCCTCAAAGTTGTTTGTAGGGAATTAATGTACCTAATATAACTCAACATAGATCGTTTGAAAGGTTCAGGTCAACATGAGGCTAAATTTTATGGACATTTGATAAAAAACGAGATTTTTCGCGGATTGAAAAAGGACTTAGATTTCGAATATTTCAAGAGATTATTCCCAAATGAAAAGAGCAGAGGTCACTTTTCTTCTGTAAATGAAGTTCTGATCTTTTATTTGTAAATAATCTATTGAAATATTCGAAATCGAAGACCTCTTTTCCAAAAAGTCCTTTTTCAATGCGCGAAAAATCTCGTTTTTATCAACTCTCCTTAAAATCTCCGTTTCAATGGTGATCTGAACCTTTAAATCGAACTATGTTGAGTTGTATTAGTCGCATTACATCTTGTTCAACAATTCTGAGGCCAAATTCCGCCATTTTGCGATTATTCAAAACCCTGATATGAAGTTGAAAATGTATGGTTTTTTACGAAAGGCAAAATCAGATTTTGACGCCTTTGTCCATTTAAGATCATAACTCGATAATTTTTCATCATTTTTGCGCAAAATGTTCTTGAAAAGTGTACCTTCATTTTAATCTTTAAATGGTGCCTGTAAGTCTAGTCGCAATTGAATTTTGAAAAATTAGTCCAAAACATTACTCGTCATACCTTAATAGAAAAAGAAAAAGAAATAACCTATGGGCAAAAAGATTGAGACAAATATAACAGGTGTTCAAACGGGTAGGTTAAACTTTGGGGCTTTATATCTCGAAAAATAGGTGCACGATCGTGGTCATTTTAATTTTATATTAATTAGCTTTACCAGGAATTTGAGAATGTCTTAAAGACAGAGTAATTAGAAGCGAAACAAAAACGCTCACCCGACTCGAAAAAGCAGTTTATAATGGGATTATAACAATTCAATGGAAACTTGTCAAAAATTTATAGCTGTATTTTTGAGAATCGTCTGATAGCGTTAATTTTAAAAAGGTGAGGGTATTTCGAGCACACATATCATTAATTCCCGATGAAAATCTATTTATATACAAATTTTCAGATCAAAAAACAAATCCGTTCTAAAGATATAGCCGTTTACTTTTTGACCTACCCGTTTGAACACCTAGTACAAATCACTTGTAAAGCTTTTTCTTGATAATCCGATTAGCCAGAGCGCCGAAACTTTCAGAAGACTGAGAAGAGAGTTCAGTTCATCTACAAGCAGAAATTCAAGATCATCGATATTCTGATCATTTTAAATTAATCATTAACTCTTGCGACAATTGAATGATTTCTTGCCTCTCAGCATAAGAAAAAAATATTGCAAAAAATCAATTAACTTTAAGATCCATTTATTCAGAAGTTATATAATATTTAAAGCTTTTTCAACATGCTAACGCTTAAAACACTCTATGACCTATCAAAATCTTTAATTTCAATCATGATATTATGCCTAAGACGACAATAATTTAGTCTAACAAATAAGAAAAAATTTAAAAATTCAACTTCAATCACCGCATAAGGGTGCCAAAAATATAAAATTTGAATCAAATGGTGCTATGTATAGTAGGTCATTATATATCAAATCAAACAGCAAGAGTTGTTCAATCTTTGATCGTTTGAAGTGAAAAGTGAAAAAGATACGAGCAATTAAACATTTGTCTCAAACTTCCTGCCCATAGGTTAGAAAAAGCTAATATCGTCTTGTAGGCATAATCCATTCTTACATAATCCGAAATCAAAATTGGGACCAGTGGGACCTCATATTGGAAACGATACAGCGTTCTTTACATTATAATTTGTAGATTCAATTGCAATTCAAATTCAAATTCAAACCGCAATAGACTTTACGAAAAAGCTATCATCATCTTGTAGGGCATAATCTATTGCAACATAATCTGAAATCAAAATTTGGGGACAATTCAACAATTTTGATTGGATTGGATGGTGGATTCAATGGATTGATTTTTTAATTTGATTGGTTTTTATATTTGGTTCGAATAATTTGGAAAGAAGAAGTCAAAAACTAAATTTAGTCGATGTAACTTGAAAAGTTGAAACCAAAAAAGTTTTGTTTGACCTTTGCCCTCTCCTACTTACCAGTTTTACTTTTTCTATGGAAAGGCTTGTATAAGCTATTGATAAAAGTTTTTTCAAAAGCCATAAAGTGGTCAAAAATATTAAAGAGAGTTTATTTGCTCTGTAGCGTTAGCAATGTATTTAGGCAAAACTACTCTTCGACTTTTTTGTCTCAAACCGGTTCGATCGCGGTTTATATTAATATTACAGGTGAACTATTATTTTCTTATTCTTCATTTTATAAATACAGATACTCAAACCTGTGATTGACAATGATCCGAAGTCAAGTTTCAAAGGTTTTGATTTTATTAGTGTTCAAAAATTATTTTGGACAAAAAAACGTCTAAGAGTAGCAACGAAGGGTTAAGATCTTCAGCAGCATCTCGCTGTCGTCGATCATGATCAAGTATCATCGTTTGCAGATGGAACCAATAATCCTGTAAAGACCAAAATAATGAGAATCTTTATCACAAAAATCGGAAAGTTTAGAGAAAGTTAGAAAGTTTTAGAATTGTTAACAATAACTTTATTTGTTGCTAGTTTAACTTTAACTCATAAATGGGAATATAAACTCAAGTCGTTATAAATCACTTTTATTTGAATATTCAAAAGACATTAAGTAAAAGAAAGTCGATTAATTTTGTTATATACATTGCATTACAATTATTATCAATATTTACTTTTTTCATAATCCTGTAGCGCTAAGGCCAATTCACGTCTCAGTTAGTTTACTTTATAAACTATAAATTTCTAGCAATTAAGCAGTTCGTTAAAAGTCGGATAGTCAATCTACAGTTGATCCGTCAAAATTAGCAAAATATCCAATCGATGTACTTATTTCAAAGCCATTCAATAACTGACTTGTTAGTAAAAAGGAACAACTGACACAATTGTAACATTTATGCATAACTTGACACAAATTCTGGAAGAAAAATGGGTAAAAAAGGGTAAAAATAGATTTTTTTCAAATTTAGACTCTTTTAGTTTGTAGGGAAATCAGAGCTTAATCCATTTTTGCGTTTTAAAAGTTTCTCTGATCAATAGTTTTCAAGAAAATCGAGATCAAATTTGAAACTTCGATCGCTTTTTGTGCAACTTTGAGACCAGCTTTTTTAATGAAACTAATGTTTCTGATGTAACTTTTGATGGTTTATGAGAAGATACACTTATTTTGAGGAACAGAACTTTCCGTTTTCTTTAAAGCAGATTAGTTCGATTATTAGTTAAACTGACCGCATTTTGTTACCATAAAAGTTAGAGAGATGAAACTTATTGTTTATCCATAAAAATTGTTGGTACACATAATAGATCAAATACTTTTTCAAATTTAACAAAGGTTCTCTGGATTGCTAAAAAATTTATTTTGATAAGCAAGAAAACATTTTATTTATTAAAATGAAATTTAGAGTTACTTCCATACGCTTTACATTGAATTGACTGTCGCGACTTGAAATGGCTCTACATCACGAACCGCGCACCGGCGAAAAAAAAGCCAAAATACGTGTCTAATAATTTTCGATCCTCTACTATATAAACCAAAAAAAGAGCGTACCACTTGGGATACTTCCTCGTAAGAGTATCAACGGAGGGTTAAGATCTTCAGCAGCATCTCGCTGTCGTCGATTAGGAGCTACATCAGGAGAAAGACTTGCAACAAATCTTGAGCAAACGCGACTAAATCAAATGAGTTGCTAGATCCATTGGTTATACTGACTGAAGCCTTGTCAGTTAACTGGCTCTCTGCAATGAAAAAAAACATTAAGTTTCGTTTGCATGCGTCTTATAACTATCAATATCTTTTTACTTACTGTTTCCAAAAGCACTGAACAAATTTTCAAAAGCTTCTTGGACTTTCATATTAAAGTTTTCACCGAATTCTGCAATATTCATACATTTGAGGATAATATCATCATTAGACTAGCTTTGATTATGAAAGTTAGATACTTACGTTCAAAAGCATAGAAAGAATTTCGAGTGTTGTTCTGGATATCATCGATGAAGCTTCGCCTGTTCAATGAGCTAGCAGATACAGCTGCAAGGAAAGGTTTGAAAGAGTTAGAAATGATATTTGATACGCGATATCAGATGTTTGAGTAACATACCTCCAATAAAGCAAAGAGTCAATATAATGGTGAAACGCATTTTGATTAGGTTGAGGATAAGAATATTGTTTGATGAACTATTCTAAACTGGATTGTTTCAATAAATGATTATTTTTATGGAAAATCAATGCTTTTTATACTTCTCATTTGCTTTATTTAATATTTTCCGGATTGACATATTCTTCACATTTAACAATCGCTCATCTTCCGAACATTGAAATGTCGGTAAGCCTTTACTTTTACGGACAAAGGCGTTAACAATAGAACAGATGAAAACTTTAAACTTCACCCAAGTTAATTCTTTTAATGTTGTTTTAGATGGTCATGAAATTTGATGAAAATGATAATAAAAAGATGAAAAGACTAGAAAAAAATAACATGGTGATATAATTTATTCAAAAGAAGCTAGTAAATATGTTTGCTCGAACATTGAAAGCTTTTACAGTCTCGAAAAAGATTGTTTTTTATGATGTGGAACGAAGACTTTTCAACAGTTTAATGCCTTTGAATTTTAATGGTTAATGTTTCTCAGATTAAGTCAAAAATCATGATTATTATTTACACCATTGTTTGCGCTTTTTTTCTTAATTTTTTAATTGGCAGATAAAGTGTGTTTTTTAAGAATCCTCTCCATATGTTCTAATGTTAACACCTTTGTCCGTAAAAGTAAAGCCTTACCGAAATGTCAATCAATGCTGATACGCACTTTTACAAAAGTTACAGGGTCTTCTATCGAAATTTTAAGCTACAAATAGTTATATAAAATCTGTAATAAATTGTTTTGAGACGTCAGATTTTTTTTATGATATGAAAATTCAGTCTTCCGTCTTTCATTTGGTTATACGATCATAGTTTTATGACAAACAGATAGCACGCAAATCGATTGCGAAAAAAAGCCGATGAAAAAAATTGAAACTTTAACAACTTTTGTCTATGGGAGATCAAAATGTTGTTGATTTCTCAATGTAATTTCCTCATAGGATTTACAATTTTTTCATTTTATAGAACGTCAAAATCGGTTGGTATCACTTGCTGAAGTTCCCTTGTAAGTCGTTTACATTTTTACTCATGACATATTATGATTTCATTCATATTATTTCAACCTAAGCCATACGCTCCTGCAATTTTATCACAACAGTATTGTTAGTTGAATATAAAATTATTGCTTGTCTTTCAAATTTGAACACAATTGGACATTTTTATATCCTACTTTGAATTAATAGCTTCGTAATCAACAAGTCATGGATTGCAAATTAACATTTGAATTGCCACTAAAATTGCTATTGCCATTGCTATGAAAACTTACCTTGTCAATGAATTAACAATGTAAGTTTTAAAAACAAATGCAGACTGCATTTTCATTTTTCTGCATCTCTCTGGTAATTATAAAGTCAGATGTATCTTTAAAAGCAGTTTAAAAAACTCGAGGTAAAAATTTTTCAAATGCTAAAGCAGTCCACAAATGGACATTTCATCTACCCAGTTCTGTAAGTATTTGTATATTAAAGTTGCAAATGAATAAATTATTATAAGTATTAGGGTGTCAAATAAGTTTTGCGGTTGGGTATGAAGTTTAGCTTAGAATTGACTGAAATTTCATCAAATCAAATTATGGACTCGTAGTATCAAAATATTGTTTCATTTTTTCAAATCGAATAATTGATGTCGTTTTTGTGAGCGTCCGAAAATTTATATCGACAAAAATCGACAAAATTGATTTTTACCTCCGTTCCTGAATAGACCTAGTCTTCTTTGAATGAGTTTCCCAAAAATAAAGATAGATTGGGGTCCATAGCGATGAGATCAGGTATTGATCGGGTATTGAAGCACCGGTACTTTGCTTTTGCCGAATTAAACCGAGATCAAAAAAACCTAAAACCCATTTGACTCAAACGAGAAAGTCATGAATTTTGCTGTGAAAAGAGTTTGAGTCTGAAACAGTTAAGCGCAACATGGCTAAAGTTCAAATGGTTAAATAATATTGAATTTTTGGGTCAAGAGTGCTGAATGCGTGCAGTCACAAACACTGAATAAATGTGATTGATTAGAATAAAACTAAAATTAAGTCAAATGATGGTTGAATAACAGTTGATTCTATAATAGATATCTAGAAATCTATCAATAATAGTGATAGTTTTCTGAGAATAGACCAATGCTAGGAACTATCAATGCCAAAGATAACACATACGTTGATTCTCAATGTGCAATTTGATGTAATCATTAATTAAATGATTATGGATTTCATAGCAATCAGGAATTGGATGAAATCAGTTCAAAACAGAAAACAGAATAAAAAATTATTATACTGATCTTATTATATTTAACAAACTCATGATTTGATTTCACTGATCAGAAATAAAAACTGTGATTATAACCGGATATTATTGTGTTATTATCAACACTTATTACGATTTCAAAAATCATTGCAAACGACTTACTGAGAATTTTGTTGAAAATATTGAAATTTATTTTTTATGATAATTATTCCCGTGACCAGTATCAATTAAAGAATCTAATATAATCAGATATTTTCATTTCGTATTGTTAGATGATAGAAGGAATAATTTGATGCATATTCAGATTCAAGTATATAAGATGAGTGAGAAACAATATTTGTTATTAGTTGTTCATTTACAGATCATTTGTGAGTTTATTCAACATAATAACCAGTTAACTCGTTAACAATAAAAATGAAACAATTTCTTGCTCTCTGTGTCTTCGCCTTTTCATTCGCCTTAGTCTTTGCGACTGGATGTGAAGAATGCAAAAAATCAGTCAAGACAAGTATTCAACCTGGCAAATGCCCTGAACCCAATCGACTTCCACAACCATTTGATCTCAATCAAGTAAGACTTTTTTCATTGAAATGAAACACAGTCATTCATTTCATATTTCAATGAAAATAATGATTTGTCTTCTTTTCTCAACAGTATCTCGGTACTTGGTATGAAATAAAGTCAACCAAACCATACTTCGAAGATGGTCAACGTTGTATCAAAGCTGACTACAAGTTTGAAACAACTACTGGTATTTTTGTTACTAACAGCACTGGACTTGATTCAGTTAACAATGAAGTTGAAAGAGTTCAATTCGCCAAGTCTTATGATCAGGACAATGTTTTCACAGCCAAAGCCTTCTTAGGTAAGTTTCCTACTGAATTCTGATTAGTATTAATATTTATAAATGATGAATATTCAATTTATTATCTAATTTCTTGTTTTTTAACATTCAGGTTCTGGTTATTACCTTACTACACAATATTGGGTTGTTGACACTGATTACAATAATTATGCTCTTGTTGTTTCATGTAACGATGTTTTGGGTCAGTTTAACTTCCGTAAGTATTCATCTTTCACTGAACAATGATTTTACCAAAATGCAACTTTTAATTCAAATTTTATTTCATTATTTCCAGGTGATGTTTGGATACTTTCAAGGAAACCAACATTGGACGACAATATTGTCGCAAATCTGGTTGCTGAATTAGACACGGTTGGACTTCATGGCATTGTCCTCGGTGACATAATCCAGAATTGTTAATTTGAATCACAGAATAAGCTATTATCGATAAAATCTGAACCAAATTTAACAGAATTATTAATTCTGATCCCGAACAAAAAAAACCTTTCGAACCTTAAAAAATATTCCATTCTTTGATATCCCCTGTATTTTGAAGCCCCTGCATAATATTAAAAGCTACTTAGCCTTAATCTATTCATCTATACATACATACATTCAGGTTTCTGGGAAAGGAGTATTTGTAAAAAATCGGTTTGGGCTCAAAACAGCAAAAGTCAAAATGGCAAAAGACAAAACAGCAAAAAGTTAATATCAATTAAATTCACACTTTTCTTACAATTTATCGGAGAATGCAAGTTAATCTACCAATTAAACGGATAATCGTATACTTTTACCTCTTTATTTACCCATAACTGCAAAAAACATTCGTCGAAGTTTCAATGTGAACATGATTTTACCGAAAATCATCGAACATAAAATTTCAAATTTCAATTTGAGTATTCTTACAAAGAGAGTAACAAGTTTTCGTTTTGTTTAATTGATTTCTTATTCTCAATCAACTTAGCCAAAGTATCTGAAAAGTATCAAAAAACGGGCAACAAAATCGTATCTGGTGTTATTCACACTGAATTTAATTTAAATTTTGAACAATGTGCTTCATTATGTCATGAATGGTCCGATGGTGAAACTGGATGTAAATCATTCAATTATTGTCCTAAAAGTAAAACAGAAAGTTCTTGTTCATTAACCGAATTTTCAGTTAAAAGTTCAAATATTAAAACCACAGAAGGAGGTTATTGCTCAAATTACGAGTTGCAAGTGGAATCAAATGGAAAGAAAAGCAAAGGTTCGTCCTAAGCAACTGAAGGAATGAGTGGACCAGGTGCTTTCAGGTTCTTCAGCAACATCTCGCTTTTGACGACCTTGTCCGGTAGCCATAGCAAACAAAGCTCCTAAGAAGTCTTGAGCTAACTTGCCTGGTTTATCGAGACCAATGAGGATTTGAAGTAGGTTGATACTCGCTTGGCAACAGTGACTGAAGCTTCAGTTGGTTCACTAGAATGGGCTAGTTAAAAGAGATAAATTTATTTTACATCAATTAAACACGTTTGAACGCAATATCAGCTGAATTTTTCATTTGATTAACTGACATTTGAATTGCTCCAAGAAAGAAAAGAGCTTCTTAAGAGCTTCTTCAGCGTTGTGTTTGGCTTCCTCAGAGAACTCAAGCCAAATCAAGCCAAACCTTCAAGAAAGTTTGAGCAAATTGGACTGGGTCATCGAGATCATTGATGAGTTGAAGTGGGTTGGTGGCTCGCTTAAATACACTTACTGAAGCTTCAGCAGATGAGTTCTCTGAAATCAAAAGAAACAAAACCATTAAATTTTTGTTTGCTTTCATGTTATAATCTCATAACTTACTATTTCCGAAAGCGCTGAGTAAGTTTTTGAGCGCTTCTTGGACCTTCTCATTGAAAGTTTGACAAAATTCTGAAAGATTCATAAGGTTGATATATCGTTATTTGACTAGATCAGGTTAAAATATAATGAGCTCAGTATAATAATTTATTATTTATAACTATTTTCTAAAAACTAAAAACTTTGAACC